CCATGGGGGCCTCTTGGTGTTTTTGCTCAACGACTTCTTTGTTGGGATGCACCGCTCCTGAGCTTGGAGGAGGTGACCCTTGAATATTAGCCAGCTGTCTTGGGCCCCTCTTCCTTCCAAGGCTTTGTCCCATGGTATTCTACCAAGCAGATCCCTGAAGAGGCCAAAGTCTGCTCTCCTGAAGTCCAGGGTAGTGAGCTTGTTGTGCACCCTCCTCACTGTCCTGAGGATCCTGAATTCCACGATTTCGTGGTCACTGCAGCCAAGGCTGCCCTTGACCTTGACGTCCCCTACCAGGCCCTCCTTACTGGTGAGAATACAGTCCAGCATGGCACCTCTCCTCGTGGGCTCCTCTATCACTTGGAGGAGAAAGTTGTCATCAACACGTTCCAGGAACTTCCTGGATTGCTTGCGCTCAGCTGCGTTGTCCCTCCAGCAGACGTCAGGGTGGCTGAAGTCCCCCATAAGGACCAGGGTTTGTGAGCGTGAGGCTACTCCTATCTGCCTATAGAGGGCTTCATCTGCTCAGTCCCCCTGGTCAGGTGGCCTGTAGCAGACCCCCACTATAATGTCTCCTGCCCCAGTGCTCCCTTTAATCCTGACCCATAGGCTCTCGGTCGTGTAAATACAATAAAGATGGTCTTGCAATATTTTTCCCAAAAAATAAAGTGAGGGTTAAACAGCAAATATAAAGCCATCAAACTAAGATGCCTAGAGCAGTCAGAAACATCCAGCTTAATGCTGTATCTGTATATAAACAGAACCTGTACCAGATCAAGTCATTCTAGCACATAACAAGCCTCCACGGTGAGAAGGCAGAATTTGTTTACTTTGACTAGTAAGAAAAAATATGCTGTTGCATCCTAAGCTAACTGTGAGCATTGAGTTCCCATATAAAATTGTGTTGAAGAGAGTTAAAATAAGCCACTCTGGTCATCTTTCAAGGACAGAGTAGATACCAGCAACATCTGTGCAGAAGAAGTCTTTCATACACGTTATCTACTCTGTTCATTCTGGTTGTGGACAAAAAGTCAAGATTTGCATCTGGTCTCTTTAGTTTTGCTTTCATATTATCACAACTACTTGACATACTTGTTTTCTCCTACAAAAAAAAAGATTCCAAATTCACTTAGTAGTGCTTCTGAAGCATTTTGTCAGGTGATAAATCTATCTTTTGGATTCACAAAACCAGCCAGCCACGTGTTATTTGCTACTGACAACACATGATGCTTTGGAAGAGCCAAACAGTACGCAGTCTCTTCTGCTCACAAAATAAGGTTATATGTAATTGCTGGACAATGAACAATACAAGAATAATGTCTGGGTTTAGGTTCTTTTCTAGAAACAGACTTCTGCAGTATCTGTAATCCTTTTCAGCTTTACTATGAAGACTAGTGTCCGATTAATCTCAAAGCGTGCTTCATGAAGACATAATGAACTGAAACATCCTGTGCTTATATTGAATAAAACTCAGTCTTAGAAATTAATCTCCATAACAAGAATCTGAATTCAAAGGTACAGGAAAACAGTAGCCAATCTGTTTAAAGCTGTTGCAGAGGACAGTTTAAGAAAACACAGGCCAGGCATATTTTTCATTTTTATACTCTCCCAAATTACAATAGTTCACATTGACAAATATGTAATCTGCTAAGAAATTCTGCAAGACATGATTCTAGAGGCAAACTTTTGCTAAAAGCAATGGAAGCACCCCTCATGTCTATCAAAGTATGCCCCCTGCAGTAACTCTTTGCATTTCTTTTTCAAGTTCAGCTATTGTATACTCCCTTACAATCGTAAATGGACAATCACATCAAGCAGAAGTACTAACTCTGGGGGGCTGAAGGACATAAGGGGTCAAAATGACCTGTTCACTTGAACAAGAAATGCTTCTTTCTGTAGATTTTACAAGTTGAGTACAGAATGCATATGCAATACACACCTTTTTATGTATCTGAATATGATTAATGCTATACTTAAGTCACACATTTGTGAAAATCGGGACTCATCCAGTAAAATGTTTCACTGTTGCTTAGCAGGTGAAAACAATATAAAAGTATGCTATCTATTCAACTAAAGACAAGCCATAACTAAACAGTTGTAAACCTCCTCAGTCCAAAAATACAGTAGCAACATTGAAGTATTCCAATACTAGAAAAAGGCACTCAAAAATAAACCCTCAGATTTTCTACTTGGTGAGCTCATTTTGTATCACAACAAAAATTAAAAATGCAAATCAGTCCGTTTTGCTGATGGTAGACAATAACCAAACATGTGTAACTTCCCAAACACTCTGACAGACTGTTCCCTAAGGCATGTCAGCTTTTGGCATAAGCCGAAGAAAAATGCTTTCTTTCATACCATTTATTAATTTTTTAACATTGTTTTATTAACACTGAAGCTTGCCCATTACATTTCATCCTTCCTATTCTAGCTTGGCATTAAATCATAATAAGTGTACATACCGGAGGTGACTAACTTCAGTCAGAGCAAAATTTAGCAGTTTAACCATTGGTGTGAAGCCTGTCCCTGCTGCCAATAAAAAGAGATCTTCTAAAGTTTGAACCTGTGACTTCTTGAAGTTACCTTCAGGATTGCTGACAGAAATATAGTCTCCTTTATAAAAACAAACAAACAAAAAATAGAATGGCAAACATTAATGAGATAAAAACAAGCTCATTAACATTATGATTTTTAAAAGGCCCTTTCATATTGCCTTCGTCTTTGTAGTATTAGAGTTCCTTTCAGAAAGGATCATTCTTGTTAAAAGAACAGATGTTCAATTAAAACGTCTTGTTTTAATGGATTTCACACTCTGAGTACACAAACATTTGTGAAGTCAGTGTTAAAAATCTGCCTCATATCTGGAACAGAAAAGGAAGTGCATCTTAAGTCTATAAAACTGAACTATCTTTATTCAACAGTACAAAAAGTCATTCTAAGAATATATACAATCAAATACAAAATAATCAACTATCATGAGTGATACAGTTGACACATCCAAATAGTTAAATATGAACACATTTGGAAGATCAATCAGGAGAGCTTTAGGTAATGGACAACGCCTAGTTACAGTGAGGAGAAGCCAGTACATTTGGGGCATGGAGAATAAGGTTAAAAAAAAAAGTTATAAGCATGTCCCGATGCATAAGTCAGTCAGCAATAAGACCATCACAATACCTAGACAGTGAATCTGAAAACACAAAGCAATTGCTGCAAAACCAAACACAAAAACCCCCAACATATACTTACCAATTTGTAGGTGGTCAAGTGCCTGTGTGAACAGTCCACAGGAATAAATTTTAATCATTAAATACATATGTGCACCAGCATTGCGAGATGGTTCTTTGAAATCCAGTGGCAAAAAAGGCAATACAGGTGTGTATGGTTTTATTACCTCTGTCCCTAGACAGAAGACAAAAGGGTAGCTGAAATAATATGACAAGTACTCTATATCCAGCAAATTTACTGCAAATAAATACCAAAACAAGCAAACAGTAAACAAATAATCTGCATATCCCATAAAAATAACACCATAGCATGATTTTAAGCAAGTGTGTTACTTTCCACTGCACCAGTTCCTATCAGAGTAGCCTTCCATTTCCAAATAAAATATTCATACCACTGTACAGTATGTTATTTCTACACTACTTAGCAATTCAAAACACTGGAAGAAAAGATTTAGTCATCCTCAATGAACATGAAAAACCTAAAGATTTGCATTTAATTTCAAGTATCACAGCTTGATTTTTTCCTAAATTGAAATAGCAGATTTTTAGTACTGCATGCTTATATTTTCTTCCACTATCATTTCAAAAAGCTATCGTATAATGATAGAAAGAAAGATTGCAAGAGTTTGATACCAGCAAAGAATTAGGTAGAGGACAAATCAGTTCACAATTACAGGGTATTTAAAAATTCTTCTAAGAAATCTCTCTGCCATGCATAGTGCAATGCAAGCACAGTGATCAGCATAATCATTAACATGCAAATTTTTTAAAGTACCCTTAAAAAAAAGAGTATTTCTTTGACCTACCATTTTAAGTTGGCCTTTTACAAAATTTTGAAGAATAGTGCTTAAACAATGCTTTTCAAGATGTATCCCTCTCACAACCTCATGTAATTATTAATATCATGCAACTGGAGTGTTGAGTAGTGTTACTGCTATAAATTGCTCAGAAGAAAAAAAAAAAAAAAATGCAAACTTGCAACATTACCCTCTGCATGCCAGAAAAGCTGCAAACTAAAAAACTAAAAGGAACTGACTAATCTTACATAACAGATGTACAACGAGCTTTCCCCCCTTCAATGAAATAGCATCACTTCAGTAGAGAGAATGTTTTAAAGGGGGAAGAGCCAATAAGGTCAACAGTAAGTGTCAGCCACCTCGTAGCTTTCCAGCAATATTAATCCAGTCAGTTCATTATTAAGCAGTGATTGAGATGCTGGAAGCACAGGTTTTCTCACTACAACCAGGAATTAGTGGCCATGCACCTGACATTCTCCCAAGACTACGAAAAGGGATTTATGTTAATATATACATAGTTACATTCTCAATTTTTCTTACCTGCAATGATTTGTTTGAGGTAAACATGTTGCCCAGTGGGAACATGGAGATGTGTGCTCTTAGGCAACATCAAGCAGAAGAGCTTGGTGTCATGAGTAACTTCTGTCTTAGAAACCAACTTGCATTTTCTGTAGAACAGTCCTAAAAATACGGTTTTAGTTGTTACTTAAATCTCAATCTTTTTATTCTTATACATCTTTTAATAAGAGATAGAGAAATAGTATGTATTTGACTATATACAGTTATAAAAAGACTACTAACAGATGCTTCTTGTACTATTACTTATAATTATTTTTCTAATTTTGGACTAAGGACACATTTCTAGCCTTACATTAGGCTTATAACAGACTGAATCTGTGAGTTACTGGCATTGTTTGGGAAGAAGTAGGAAAATACCAAATACTATCAGAAAGCAGAACCCCCTGTACTACATTGCATCTGCACTAAATTTACCATACAACTACAGCATATACAGACTAAAAACAGTTTGGGTAGCGCAAATGAAACATAAGCAATACACAGCACCAGAGTCCTCGCTAACAGACTATCTAAGCCCAGCCAGCATCCCATGTATTTATTGGGCTGACCACCCCGCACTCTTGCGGTTTCACTGCTTTTAGCACAAAATGATATGATATATCACAATTTCTGATACAATTTTTTTTCACAATTTTTCAGGTACACAATACTAATACTTAAATGCTTACACATGACATAAAATGAAACTAACATCTGTGCCTACACAGCAGCACTATCAATAAATGTTTTAGACATGAATTGGTGCCTTTTGGCTAACTAAAAATTATGAACTCCAGTTTATGTTCACATGCTTACTTAAACCAACTAAAGGTCATATGTACAGCACAAATTTTTGTTAGTACAGCTGTTTTGGAGGTGAGAACATGGGTTTCAAATACAGTGCTTTTCAACTTGTGCATCAACTAAACACTGGGCAAAAGGTACTTGAAAAAAGAAAGCATTAAAAAATAAACTTAAATTCACAATGCAAGGTCTGCATTTCCACCAAAATTTTTCAAGAAATCGAGAAAGAAATCAGGGAAAGAACACTACTAATCAGAGTAACTATAAAAAAACCCAACCCTTGTACATTCCTATTACTGATGGGGATTAAAAAAAAGGAAGGAACACCCTAGATTATTTAGCTTTGTTCAAGGACAAAGGGGAAATAAACTCTAACAGTTTCACCAATACCTTATGGAAGCTTGACGTAATGTGTTTTCCCTATACCTGCAATAGGCTGAGAGCAAAATAAGTCATTTACATTTGCTATAGCAGAGGCAGTAACTGATCACCTATACTGGAAAATCTCTGTGACAAAGCACTCAGTATAAGGCTGGCCAGTCTCGCACCAGTTTTAACTAAGCAGCCATCCTGATCTATGTAATCTGCATCATTACAACACTTCACGGTCTAAGGGAAGGTTTGAAAATACAACAAAATAGAGAGCTATGCCCTGCTGATTACGACCAGAGACTGCAGAACGTAAGTGGGGGTAAAGCAGCAGAAGGAACAATTACTGCAAAGGGCAGGGATGCAAAAATCACCACTCATTACCTTTCACTCTGGAAAGAAACATGCTTACAAAGGTTAATTCAGCAACAAATGCCAAAGATAGGAAGGCATTCCTCAACCCTCAACTACAATATTCTACTAACTGATACAGGCCTGCGGCCATTACCACAATAGGTTAGTATTTGACTAATTAGGAACAAGTTTCCCGACTCTCCTGAAACCCCAATGAGAATAACAATTGCTGCATAAGGGAAGTGACGGCATATTGTAGAAATCCAGATACAAAACCAGAGGTGTAAATTGAAGATGAACAGAAGTAATTTTTGCTCTTCTTACCTATAGAAGAGCATTTTTTCTGCTAAACCTTTGTTTCAGCACTGCAGTATTTTAGGTCTAACCTGAAATAACAGCGTGACCCAAACTAGCCAAAGCGGGTATTCCATACCATGTGATGTCATGCTCAGCATAAAAGGGGGTCTAGTCAGGGAGGGGCAATGCAGCTCCAGGACGGTCCGGCTTTGGGATAGGTCCGAGTGCGTGTGTCTGAGTTGTATGGTCGTTGGGTGAGAAACTGCATTGTGTACCACCAGTTTTGTATATTCTAAGTACTGTTCTTGTTATTTCCCTCTCCCTTTGCTATCTCAGTAAACTGTCCTTATCCCAACCCACGAGGCTTTGCCTTTGTCTTTCCCATTCTCCTCCCCACCCCACTGAGGGAAGGGAGGTGAGTGAGCAGCTGCATAGTGCTCAGCTGCCGGCTGGGGCTAAACCACAACAATCATTTACCATTTTCAATGTAAAATCTGTAACCAGTCCCAGTGAATATTTTCACGCAAAGCCTCTCAAAAGTTGACAGGTTCATACATGAGAATACTTGAGCATGTCACCCTTCTAACAACACTTTCTGCACTGAAGCAGTATTAATGAAGCAACATTTCTTCCCCCCTCTTTTTCTCATGTTATTGAAAAAACACTCAAGTCACTAGCATCAATAGCTGAGCTACTCATGAAACAGGATGAGATGCAAAGGACACATGGTGCAATGCAGGAAATTCCAACTAGGCATCACCATGAGGATGGTCTGGTCAAACACTGGGCAGGCGGCCCAGAAAGAGTTTCTGTCCTTGGAGATACTCAAACCTTGACTGGACAGCTACGAGCAGGAGGTTCGATCAGACAACTTCCAGAGGTCCCTTTCAACTAAGTTAGTCTGTGATTCTAATAGTTCTTTAGGTCTTAATAGTTAGAAGTAGAAGCACCTTTCGTATTTTGCCACTGCACCAGCAGATGCTTCCTTACTTCCTGACTTTAGTCACATGCTGATTCTCTTTTGAACAGGAATGGACTACCAGAAAATCTGTAGTAAGTATACATCACCTGTACATGGCCTAAATCATGAAGTCAGCCAAAATTCTCTCTCAACAATTCTTCTTAAGCGAGTCTTAGCTGACTGAGGGCTTATGCAAGTTTCCAGCAAAGTTTTTATCAAATGCATGCAAAATGTAAAGGAAATTCTAGGCATTGCTGCAGCTTAAGTGACCACAGCCATTGCTTCCTTGCTTTTACCTTCCAACAGAGGGTGGTGAGGCACTGGAACAGGTTGCCCAGAGAGGCTGTGGATGCCCCATCCCTGGAAGTGTTCAAGGCCAGGTTGGATGGGGCTTTGGGCAACCTGGTCTAGTGGAGGGTGTCCCTGCCCATGGCAGAAGGGTTGGAACTAGATGGTCTTTGAGGTCCCTTCCAACCCAAACCAGTCTATGATTCTGTGACCAGCACCACTAAAGGGAAGGCAAGCCAGTAAGACTGGCTGAACTTTATTCTTAACTAGGGCTACAGTTTGAGAACAGACACCAACTGCTGGACTTAAACTTAAACAAACAAAACAACCAACAACAAAAAAACCCCAAAAATCTAACCACCCAAACTTGAGAAGGTGCATTCTCCTTCCCCAGTATTTTCTAAGAATCATTCAAGGACTGCTTTGAGTATTTCAGTAATTTCATCTAATGACTTATTTTCCAAGCAGCTTATCTGTACTACTGCAGTTTCCTTACTGCAGCATTAATATGCCAAACATTTTGCTATTCCCAGATATTCTGGATTAAAAACCCAGCCAAAGAGTTCAAGTCAGCTGGAGACTAGTTACAGAGTGCTCTGCCACAGCTCAGTTAATTGCTGCCTTAAGGAACAGCCATTCTGAAGGAACATTCCCTTCTTCAGTAAGTACAGGATCACAGCCTGTCAATTCAACCACAAAAAAATTTTGAACAGAGGAAAGCTTTCAAACAAACAGTATTTATCCACAAAATGCTTAAAAGTTAAGGGTTTGAACAAGATCTTCCAGCTCAGCCATGCTGCTAATTGGCTTTATTTCCAAATAAACTCTGCTAGAAGGGTCAAGTATCTAAATACATGAGTTATGCATAGGAACATACATTAAGGTTACTAAAAATCACCTGCACATGCAATTTGTGCATGGCCTAAGTTACCATCAAATTCATTACACACCACTATTGCCACAATAGGTGGCCATGGCATTTTTCTGCATGCACTTGTTTTCTTAAATTATTCAAATGCCTACTGGTGAGTTATCCACTATAAATGCCTGCAGCGACATGATGTAAAGCCTCTGACATGGAATAAATCTTTCTTCATTAATATTTTCTCATGTGTTTCATCTAACATCCTATAAACTGCTTATTTTGAATGAGCAACCATTTCAGATGTACCAAAGAATGCCTACAGCCCTGAAAAATGAAAGGCATTAATTCCATTTCATACCAATCTTGACGTAAAACAAGAAAATCAGCAGTTCTCCAGCTATATAAAAGAAATTTTATTAAAAGTTTGTTGTAATTTGTTTTTCTACCACTCTTTTGAAAAATAATACATACTAAGATTGCAAAGTAGAATATACAAATAAATATGCTAAGATTGCTGTCAATTCTGCAGACTTAATTACTTGAAAGGATATAGGAGGTTGGTGATATATCCCACAATACCGATCAGCTAATACTCTTCCAGATATTTGGGAGTGGGGAGAGAAGTTAAAAAATGATTCATCAACTGATTCACTGCTTCTTGACAATTTTTTGACCTTTCCAACCTGACAAATTCCACCTGTAATGAGCTAACCTTTACTTTTCCCTTTTGCTTTTTAATTTGCCATAAAGAACTTTTGTCCCGATTCACTCAATCTGATTTTTGAAAACAGAGACCTTTCTAGGTCTAAGCAAACTCCTAGTTCAGGTTGTCCTCTTTGCTGTATTAAATAAAATTACTTCATCATCAGTGGTCCAAGTAAAATTTGGAGCCACAAGCAAAAACAATTGGCAATGTAGAAAAGCCTTTCAACAAGACAACAGCAGCCTCTAGTAGCAAGCTGAAGGACAACAGTTGCTTTCAGCAACCCACAAAGCCAAGTTAACTGTCAGATGCCAAAGACATACAACTTGCTACTATACATATGCAAAAGGCTCCTCTTTCAGTTTTGGAGCATGATACAAGCGCCCAGTAGCAATCCCTACTTTTCAACGTAGAAAAAGCAATTAGGGAGGACGTAAGGTTTATTCAAACTTTCTGCAGACATCAAGTGTCAGCATCACAGC